ATAAGATCCAATTTCAAATAGATGAATATCATAAATTTAAAGAAAAAATGTTAGCAGAAACAAAAAGTAAGAGAGAAAATAGTAGAAACTCTTCCTTAATAATAAATAATAAAATAAATTGTGTGGATTTTGGTAATTTAAATAATTAATCATAGTATATTGATATTGTCTGACAATCAATTATATTATATATTAAATTCAGCATTTAAGGAAACTTTTTAAAAATTGATATTTGGATAACATTAAGAATCGAAAAGGAGATAATAGTTTATCTTTTTAGAAGAGCAAAATGTGAAATATGAGAAAATTAATTTGAAAATGTAAAATATTTAAAAGTTCTCTATTCTCAGAATTTTTACTAAGACAGCAATTAGTATTAAATGTTATTAATTTATAAGGAAATTTGAACATTAATTATTTAAAATTGGCATTTAGGAAAGTATAAGATTAATCTATGTTTTATTAATAAAATTAATTAATGTTTATTCTTCTCTCACATTTATTCATTTCGCTGTTTTTCTAATATCTACTCAAATATCTTTCTCACAGATTATTACTAAGTAAAAAAGTGATTAATAAATTGTGATTACAAATTTCTGTGTTATCAGATCATCAGGGATGTTTAATGCCACTTTAATTCTAGTGATTGGTCTCATCTTTAGTGTATCCAAAATTTCATTACTATTTAATGAAACATTTCATTTCCTTTTTTTTATAGTTTACGTTTGTTTAATCCTTTTCAATTCTCCTAGAGCTGTATGTTTTGGTAATTTTATAATAAATTTTAAAGAATTGTTATCTTATTTAATACTTCTAATAAATTCTAACTCATACTCCTATTGCCTATGATCTGATAGTAATTTGCTTTTAATTTTAATATAATCAATATTTTATACTATATTCCTATTGTCAGAACTTTCATGAATATAGAAATTTTTAATCTTGCCTAAATCTTATTTAAAGTAGAATAAAACAAATACATCACATTTTTAGTTCATTGATGACATATAATTCATATAAAGATTTATAATAATTAACAAAAATTATTAAGAAGGGTCAATATATATAAGGACAAAAGATATTTATATTTAATGAAAGATTTAGAAATTTACACTTATTAGATTGAATAAAATTTTGATTCTGTAAATGAAAATGGAAGACATCCTTTAATATTCTTATTATTGAAAAAAATCAAATATATTGTATCTCCTTCTTCTAGTAACATTGAATATTGAATAAATTTGTATTTGATCATACCCTATATCCCTTTATATATTACAACAAAATACAAGGCAATATATGTTTAAAATCAGTAAACTTATGTGAAAGTTACTTTTGATACTATTATATATCAATTTCTAATTCAATATAATGAATCGTTTATTTTTTGTAACAGCACATTTAATTTATTATTGCTAATATATTTATTTGGAGCAAATTTGCTAAATAATATCAATAGCTATTGATTACACTTAAATTCATTTTAATTTGTGAATTAAAGAAGTCATTTTTGCAATTAAGAGCCTTTTAGAAAAATATTTGATCGTTCAAGGTAATTCATTAATAAAATGTAAAACATAATTATTATACCAAATAATAAGTTTTTTTAATAATTGCTGATTATAAAAATATAAAAACATAAATTATGTTTATCTAAAAGAAATGTATTTTTTAGACAATTTTCAATAAACTTTATCAATAAATTTTTTTATTTGAATTATTAAGTGAATAAGTAGGTTATCATATACATGAATTCATTAATAAAATTAAAATCATTCTAGAGATTAAATTAATTAGAGAAAATTATTATATTTTAATAATAAATATTAAAAATAATAATAAAACATTGGAATCAGAAAATATTAAAATAGAATGAATTAAAAATGGACACTATAATTAGAGGACAAAATCAATATTTGATTCTAGTTTCAAAATTTAATTTTCTAGTTAAAATATGAATGCATCCTGAAAGTAAACATCATGATAATAAGTTAGTATTCAATTTAATTTATATTATAAATGAAAATGGGAATATCAGGTCTTCCCTTTACTGTTATATTCCTCACTGTAACTATGGCTCCCTGTCTTTTGTAATTCATGGTAGCCTAGTTTTATGGCTCAATTTTGATTTCATGTGAATCCCATGATACTATTCTTAAAATTAAGCTATTCTCCAAAAGTAAAAATTTAATTTCTTTCTACTTCTCTTTTTGTTATTTATGTCGACATAATAGTTATGCAAGAATCTCAATGATAGTAAACGATCATTTAAATGCAAAAGATGTTGGTTTAATATTAAAATTTATTTTAAAAGGGCACTATGTAAGATTTCTAATTAATTATTCTATTTTAATACAATCAAGATTAAGCTGGCTACTGAAAGTTAAAACCACCCTAAATTAATTATAATTTTTAATAATCACGCTCATTTACTTTTCTTTTTCTTGAATTCCATCGTGCCTCTAAATAAACTCACTTTTTTTTCATCTAATCTATCTCAGCAATTTTCCAAACTACTTATTTCATCTAAATCTATCTTAACCCTATCTATGAATCATCAAATATATAATAAATATAAAAATACTACATACCCTATTAGAAAATAAATTAAATATATTCAATTAAATTGCTAATAATATTTCTCAGTGATATTTATAAAATATCATTACAAAAGCAATTTGAAATGAAAAACAATTCTAAATTTATTTTGAATATAATATTTCTGCTTATCTTATAACTTTATCAGAATCCTAAAATGGTTTAAATACTTCATTATTTTCATTTAAAGTGAATAACACATTTGTCAACCATTTTTTATCAGGAAGTTTCTCAGGAGATATTCCTAATAGGACATTCTTCTCTTAACATAATTTCTCAAGTTCATAAAACAGTTTAATTTTACTTACCTTTTTAAATATCTACCCAATTTTAATTTGATTTGTTTCAATTCTAAAACATTTACCAAGGGCCACATTTAAGAGGTACTCACAAGTGATCACTGACGATGCTAGATCTGGCATGTAATAATTTTTCATAAGTAATGCTGAATGGAGTGATTCTATTGATCCAACTAGTTGGTTAGCTTCTTGTATCGACACAGCCTAAAAATAATAAATAAATTTTATTTGTTTAAGAGTGGCTTGCAGAATCCCTCTATGAACAGATATCATACCATTTTTGTGTTTCAAGAAATTTTGTAGTTCCATTTGACGAGAAGTATACTGAATAGACAGAATTAGTATCCAATTTATCAATAACCTATTAACCAATAGTCTAATTATCACTACCAGATGTTAAAGCAGTTCCATCTGGTGAGTAAAATCCTTCTAGGACAGAATTAGTATAATCATCCAAATTGGTTTTTTATTATCCTGTCTTAACATCCCATAAACGAATTGAGTTATCCCAACTACCAGATGCTAAGATAGTTCCATATGGTGAGAAGCATACTGAGAGGATAGAATTAGTATGACCAACGAATTTGGCTTTTT